CTGATTCAGAATAGCTGCTCTGGAGGAACCCTGGTTGAAAGTAGCTGCTCTGGCGGGAACCCTAGGGCTCCACGGAAACCTGGCTGGGAATAGCTGCTTTGGAGGAACCCTGGTTGAGAGCAGGTGATCTGGAGGAACCCTGGGGCTCCATAGAACTCTGGTTGAGAGCAGCTGTTCTGGGGGAACCCTGGGGCTCTATAGAACTTTGGTTGAGAGCAGCTGTTCTGGGGGAACCCTGGGGCTCCATAGAACTCTGGTTGAGAGCAGCTGTTTCTGGGGGAACCCTGGGGATCTATAGAACTCTGGTTGAGAGCAGCTGTTCTGGGGGAACCCTGGGGCTCCATAGAACTGGGGCTCCCTGGGGCTCCAGAACTCTGGTTGAGAGCAGCTGTTCTGGGGGAACCCTGGGGCTCCATAGAACTCTGGTTGAGAGCAGCTGTTCTGGGGGAACCCTGGGGCTCCATAGAACTCTGGAGAGCAGCTGTTCTGAGAACCCTGGGGCAGGTTGAGAGCAGCTGTTCTGGGGGAACCCTGGGGCTTCATAGAACTCTGGCTGAGAGCAGCTGTTCTGGGGGAACCCTAGGGGAGAGCAGCTGTTCTGGGGAACCCTAAAACTCTGGTTGAGAGCCCTAGGGGGTGCTTCTGTGAGAGGTGGAGGACCCTGGGGCTCCATAGAACTCTGGTTGAGAGCAGCTTCTGTGGAGGAACCCTGGGGCTCCATAGAACTCTGGTTGAGAGCAGCTTTTGTGGAGGAACCCTGGGGCTCCATAGAACTCTGGTTGAGAGCAGCTTTTGTGGAGGAACCCTGGGGCTCCATAGAACTCTGGTTGAGAAAAACTAAGCTTGATGTGCACAAGTAGAGCGTATAGCTGAGTCTATGTTGGTGAAATTCAAAGTTCTGACCCTTGCAGAGCATGGATTCATATTACTTGAGTAAAATGGGCAATGTTGCAATAGTTCACCTTAGTTCTACTCTTGTTACCGTCCTACAAAGGTCAGTGTTAGGAGCTAGCCAAATCTGGCTTATTTATAATAGCAAAGGGCAATGGCAGCCAGTCAGCACATTTAATTATTCTGATTAACAATGAAAGGTGTTATGTTCTGACTTGTACCTTTTATACATCATCATAAGTCTTTCTAAATATGCCAGGTTGTCATTTCTCTTGGCAGGCTGTGAAGAGAGGCTTACCAACAACAGATATGCCATACCATCACCTCTGCTGCTATTCCTTTTGCTTTCTAATGTAAATCGAATTTCTAATTGTTAATCCAGCCATAACTTCCTCTTGGTTCAGAACAGGGTAGGGAAGGTTAGGTCTTCCTAGAAGAAGCCTGTGTCCTCTCAGCTCACAGAATACTGTGATGGTCAGCAGAACATTGAGTGAAGGGGAACAAAAAATAGTACGTTATGTAACTCCTTGACCCTACTTTTTGAAAGTTAAAAAAAAAAAAAAGCAGCAAATGTGGCTTCAGTTCCAGTTTAAATGTGTAGTCACGCTAGGCATGGTTGCCTTGTACCATGTCCTAGAATGGGCATGTGCCCAACACCCCCCCCCCGCTGGCTTGTGTTTCCATTGTGCCATGCTTGAGCATGCTTGCATCATGGCCTCTATCTCGCACAGATCTGGTGTGTGCATTGCCCAAGCTCAACTGCACCATGCCCATACCCATCCCTTCAAGGTACACTGAAGTGTGCACAGCAGTTGCACTAGTCAAGCAAACTGGACTTTTGAGGTCAAACATACATCATGGGCACATTATGGATTGCCTAGTGCGAGTGCAGCCTAAGGCAAATTAGAATTTTACCCGTACATTTTTTATTTTTACATATTTTCTAGTGGGAAATTGGGTTCTACCTCCTCATGTTCCACTTATACAGTACTTGTTTCATACAATTTCTATTATTTCAGTGCTGCTGGTATCCTGCACGTTCTATTAGTCACTTCCCGTCTATATTCACTGCTCCAGTGTTGGTTGCATATTATTGCTCTGGACCAGCTTCCAGATGAGGCTTATGTTGGTGGTAGCTTGGGCCTCTACACACTGTTTACATCTGTCAAACAGACCATCGGCTTTACAGCCACCCAATCACTTTTCACAAACTCCCAAAAGCATCCAACCGACGAATACCCCAGCCGTGTGTTCTGATCACCTCTGGCTCTCCTGTAGGCCCAAGACAGGCATGGCAGGTAGAACAGAAGGAGATCAGCGAACATCTGTTTGGTGTTTGAATCACAAGCATTTCATCACTTCTGGGTTCATAGCTGTCATTCTCTAACAACACTGGTCGGGGAAGAAGCAGGTTAAGCATGCTCTATCCTTAGCTTCAGTATGTGTCTAGTAGTCTTCTGATGTCTTTTTTTAAAAGGAGACATGTCTCCAGCAATAGGCTATCACAAAGACCTTTAGGGACGAATGGACACTTGTTCAAGGTGACCTGTCATGAGAGAAGCATGGGGGTCACCATTAGATATCTCTTTATAAAATTGGTAAGTTCTTGGCTGTCACGCTGAACCTTCTGATTCACAATTTTAAATTACTGACCCAAAACAAGCATGTAGATAAAGACCAAGACTTGTTCTTGGAGAATTATTTTTATTATTAATGATTGAATTGACATTGAAGCCAAAGAGCTGAGATGGTAGCCAGGTAAAGTAGAAGCATTGAGGACCGTATTTGTGTCATACCAGGTTTACTTTTAGGTACCTTCCATTTGGAACAATAAGGGGGAAGAAACATGGAAGATTACTCCTCCGCTGAACATTTAGAGTATATGAAGACCCATCTGCACATTGGCATGTTTACATGAGTGCCTATCTATTATCTACTGGCATGTGTGCCTATCTGTTATCTACTGGCGTGTGTGCACTTCTATTTTCTCAGTGTACAAAAAAAACGCACATGACCCTTTTTTTCTAGATCACGGTGACACGTTTCTACAGTTGTATGCAGCGCTCTAGGGCCAGACATGATTTTAAATGCTTAGGTTTCTTGAGAGATAATTAGAAATTAATCTTTTCTCCCCTCTGGAAAACCTGTGAGCAATGCATTCCAATGCCCATTAGAAGATGTGCTCTCTGGTGGGAAGGTGCCTTGGGGGTAGCCATTATTCTCTCCTGCAGGTGAAAGCACACACCATGCTTCTTTCACCCATTTAGATTGTATATGAATGAAGGGATTTTGTCTGCTAAGCAAATCAAAATGCTGCTGAAGATGGTTACAGTTTGTATTACTACAGATCATAATCAATGAGACAAAATCTACCCTTACATTAGCGCCCCCCCCAGTCCCCCCCGCACTGCAAGGGTTATTTCCTGGTCCAATTTAGGGGTGTAGGGATAATGAGTATTAGGTAATCCCTATCCCTCGGTCCAGCAGGCTCCCGCACTGTTCTGAAGCTCCAGGCTGTGGGTGGTCCCCTGGCACCATCACATGCAGTGCAGGGCTAGTAAAGCTGAAGTTTAGATAGAGAGAGATAGAGATATATATAGATATATATATATATATATATATATATATATATATATATATATAATTTTTTTTTTTTTAAACAGCACCAGGCCCTACTTACCGGCAATGCTGGTGGTTGCTGTTTCCAGTAGAAATTCTCCACCTTCTGCCCTTTGGATACCCCCACAGCAGTGATCTTCCAGAGCTGCTGGGATTAATATCAGCCACTGTGCTGACTATGCCCAATTCCGCCCCCCTGCTCCATTCATAAAACCCATTCTATAGGTTATACAATTGCTATTGTAATGTTATTAGGAATGATCATTCCTTTTCAATCTGTAGTGCTGTACTTTTCTGTAACATTCACTGCAATATGGAAACCTGTAGGCTTCTTTTACACCATTGATGTGCACATTGCTCTCAAAATGTCTTTTGTGTAATTTGCTCACTGATTTTCCCAGAAGTCTGATGCAAGTCAGATTCTAGGCATCCTGCAATAGGAAATTCAGATCTTCCACATGGGTTTAACCACTTGCCTACCGGGCACATTTACCCCCTTCCTGGACAGGCCAATTTTCAGCTTTCAGCGCTGTTGCACTATGAACAAAAAGAGCCAAAAATGTGAAAAACAAAAAAGTTTTTCTTTGTTTCTATTATAAAATTTTGCAAACATTTAATTTTTCTCCTTCACTGATGTGCATTGATGAGGTGGGACTGATAGGCTGCACTGATATGCAGCAATGGTGGGCACTGACTGGTAGCACTGCTAGGTGGCACTGATAATCGGTGCCTTGATTATCAGTGCATATCTGCTCTGTGACATTTGCCGATTATCGGCAGTACTTTCCTCACTCTGACCGCACGAGGAAAGTGCTGCTGATAACCGGCAACTGTATGTTACTTTGTGATCAGCTGTTTCATTGGACACAGCTGATCACATGATAAAAGGACGCTGTGATTGGCCTTTTACCTAGTCATGTGATCAGCTGTTTCTGTAAGACACAGCGATCACTGACAGCGCTGAATGCGAGCCGCTGGGTCGTTCTGGGAGGACGTCATGTGACTTCTTCCCAGAGCTGTCCATCTTTCTGCTATAGCGCATTTGTAAAGTGGCTGATACTTGTAGAGGGATGCAAACACTGCAGCTTTTCCCAATACAACACTGCAAATGCACCAGCTGATTATACAGAACAGCCATTCATGACAGGGTAAAACAAACACCAATTTCTTCAGAGCAACAAAAGGATAGCGATTTGCTTCAAAGTTTGTTAAAATTCCTGCAAAGTACTCAGAGTATTTTGTTCTGAACAAAAGTAGAGTTACTCTTCATGTAAAGAGTATGGATGAACTCTGGGGTGTTCGGATACGAATTATCCTGCCAGGAAGCTGTCACTGAGGACAGCCAATCATAAGCAACAGAGGCCTTTCCTGTCCCGCAGCTTCACATACACTATAATGCCAAAAGTATTGGGCCAGCCCTCCAAATCATTGGATTCAGGTGTTCCAATCACCTCCATGGCCACAGGTGTATAAAAATCAAGCCCCTAGGCATGCTGACTGCTTCTACAAACATTTGTGAAAGAATGAAAACAATGGATAAAAGTGAGCGCTTTCTAAAAACGAGCAGCTAGAACACACAGGACAACCAAAAAAATTCCTCACATAGAACTAAGTAAAAAAAGTGCAGCGCTAGAAAAAAAATATAAAAATAAAATTAAAATAAAAAAGAAAATAAGTAGTCAATGTGCTTAAAAGGTACTCCAAAGTCAATATAAAGTCCCAAAAAACGGAATAATGTGTATACTGTGGTAAAGATGCAGTTGAAGTTGGGTAGATGTGATCCCCGGATCAATGAAGATCCCCAGGTCTAAGAAGCATACGTTCCCGAGATAAATAAGGAAGCAGTCACAGCTACACCAGAGAGAACCACCACTCCTTCACTTTGCATCCACGGTATCTAAGAGGAGAAACTCCTCACAAAGAGAAATGCCCATAGTAAGGTATAATATAAAACATTTATTTATAGTAAAAGACAGGATGCATCCAAATTGGATAAAACACCGCCAACAAATATTAGTATCAGCAGCAAAGCAAACAGGACTAACCGTCCTGTCAGATGTAGTGGCCGCCGGAGCTCCCCAGTGCTCCGACGCGTGGCGTCAAGGCGTGCGTAGGTTCCTCCTTACGCGTTGCGTGCCAAGCACATCTTCAGAGGAAAGAACCGGTATACATGACGATTGATTATGATATCAATGTGTCCTTTGATCTGGCACGTTTTTTTCATGATATTGCCCTTGGTTGCATCGCCAACCTCACAACTGATTTTGTCATTTATTAGTGACAATATATTGTTTTCCGTTTTATTGCTGTATATATGCCGTTTTGGTTGCATTTAGTTATGCATTCCCCCTCCCCCCCCCCCCCCCCTTTGGCGTTTTTTTCAGCCATTGATAAGATGTGATTCTCTATATCAATTTACATTACTCATGTTTCTGTATCTGTTGACTCTCCTGTTATCACGGACTGACACCAGATTGGTATGTGAGCTACGATTAAAATGGCGCCTAACTACGGCGCATGCGCTTTTTTGGTCTATTTAGCGCTGACTTGCACGTCACGGCGTATACCGGTTCTTTCCTCTGAAGATGTGCTTGGCACGCAACGCGTAAGGAGGAACCTACGCACGCCTTGACGCCACGCCGTCGGAGCACTGGGGAGCTCCGCGGCCACTACATCTGACAGGACGGTTAGTCCTGTTTGCTTTGGCTGCTGATACTAATATTTGTTGGCGGTGTTTTATCCAATTTGGATGCATCCTGTCTTTTACTATAAATAAATGTTTTATATTATACCTTACTATGGGCATTTCTCTTTGTGAGGAGTTTCTCCTCTTAGATACCGTGGATGCAAAGTGAAGGAGTGGTGGTTCTCTCTGGTGTAGCTGTGACTGCTTCCTTATTTATCTCGGGAACGTATGCTTCTTAGACCTGGGGATCTTCATTGATCCGGGGATCACATCTACCCAACTTCAACTGCATCTTTACCACAGTATACACATTATTCCGTTTTTTTTGGGACTTTATATTGACTTTGGAGTACCTTTTAAGCACATTGACTACTTATTTTCATTTGTGAAAGAATGGGTCGCTCTCAGGAGCTCAGTGACTCCAAGCGTGGTCCCGTGATAGGTTGCCACCTGTACAATAAGTCCATCCGTGACATTTCCTTGTTACTAAATATTCCACAGTCAACTGTTAGTGGGATTATAACAAAGTGGAAGCAACTGGGAACAACAGCAACTCAGCCACCAAGTGTTATGCCATGTAAAATGACAGAGTGGGGTCAGGGCATGCTGAAGCGCACCGTGCACAAAATTCACCAACTGTCTACAGAGTCAATAGCTAAAGACCTCCAAACTTCATGTGTCCTTCAGATTAGCACAACAACAGTGTGTAGAGAGCTTCATGGAATTGGTTTCCATGGCTCAGCAGCTGCATCCAAGCCTTACAGCACCAAGTGCAATGCAAGGCATTGGATGCAGTGGTGTAAAGCATGCCACCACTGGACTCTAGAGCAGTGGAGACTTGTACGAATCATGCTTCTGTCTGGCAATTTGATGGACGTGTCTGGATTTTGCGGTTGCCAGGAAAATGGTACTTGCTTGAATGCATTGTGCCAGGTGGAGGGGGATTATGGTGTGGGGTTGTTTATCGGGGGTTGGACTTTGACCCCTTAGTTCCAGTGAAGGGAACTCTTAAGGCATCAGCATACCAAAATATTTTGGACAATTTCATCCTCTCAACTTTGTGGGAACAGTTTGGGGATGGCCCCTTCCTGTTCCAACATGACTGCGCACCAGTGCACAAAGCAAGATCCATAAAGACATGGATGAGCGAGTTTGGGGTGGAGGAACTTGTCTGGCCTGCACTCAACCTGATAGAACACCTTTGGGATGAATTAGAGCGGAGACTGCGAGCCAGGCCTTCTTGTCCGACAAGTCCTTGTCCTCACAAATCTGCTTCTGGAAGAAATTTCAAACCTTCCCATAGACACACTCCTAAACCTTGTGGACAGCCTTCCCAGAAGAGTTGAAGCTGTTATAGCTGCAAAGGGTGGGACAACTCAATATTGAACCCTACGGACTAAGACTGGGATGCCATTAAAGTTCATGTGCGTGTAAAGGCAGGCCAACCAATACTTTTGGCATTCTAGTATGTGTGTGTATGTATGTATGTATATGTGTGTGTGTGTGTATATGTGTATATGTATATATATATATATATATATATATATATATATATATATATATATATATATATATATAAATTATAAAATGTATGTGCCCCTTGGCTGTCTGCAGTGTCAGCTTCCTGTTGAGATAGCTCCGTCATGTTTGGAATCGTGTCTGAACCCACCTGAGCTCATCCCTGGTGGGTGGTGAGCCTGCCACTGCGGCCCAAAGCTGCTTAGAAACTGTAGAGCCGTGGTCACCAAACTTCCTAAACAAATTTTACTATCTTTCAGACCTTAGAGGGGCTGGACTCTGGACAGTGGGAGTAGGAAATGTCCTGGCATCTGTAACAATGCCCCATCATTGGTGTCTGTGAGAGGAATAGTACCCCATTATTGGTATCAGTGAGAGGAAGTGTCCTGTCATTGCTGTCAGTGGGAGGAAGAGATATTTTCTTTGTTGCTTGACATGTGTCGCCCTTCCATGTGCTCCTTGCTGTAAAGGCCAGTTATAGGTTGGGGCAATTGCCATTTGTTTCTACTAGAGGAAGAGTGCCCTATTGTCAGTGTCAATGGCAAGAGTTATGCCGTATTCTTAATATAGGAGGAATAGTGCCCAAAGGGATGTATAAGGGCGAACAAAGTGCTGCATCTGGCCCACGGACTGCAGTTTGGAGGCCACTGCTTTAGAGGACTGGTCATATGTATTGAGAGCCTGTTGGAGCCAGGAGTATGGTAAGTAATACCTCTTACTCCTGCACCCCCAGACTTGCATGTTGTTGGAAGGGGGGACCCCACTACAAAGGTAGATTTTGTCTCAATCTCGGAGTCAAATTTGAAAATGAACCCCTTTAAACAAAGAAGCCGTCATGGTGTAGGGAGTTTTGGAGGCTCGTTAATGTGAGCTGTGTATACATCAGCCGTCAGGATAGCTGGATGAAATGGCAGCTGTTAGATTAGTAGGCTCTTAAGGATTTGTTGAACAGAGGCATGAGACTGCAGTAAATCTCGACACACGTTGCTGGGAATACTAACATCTGCCGCTGGGTTCTCTAGAACATCATTACCCCTCCTTCGTGTTGATTGGCTCGAACGAGCCTTATTTAAAAGATTTAGCTCTCCCCTGTGAGTTCATCCATTCGATTATCCTGTTGAGATTGGTTAAATGTTTATTTTGTGACATCGTACAGTTATTGTGTCTCAAACTGATTTCTTTCTATGATTAACAAGAGGAAGTGTAAAAGTCATCCACTATGACAATTACCGGGGAAATGTCTCCCTGATCTCCGAAGGAAAGATTTTTTTTCCTCTTGTTTTTATTTGGTAAGCACAGTGGCAGGGTTATTATTTTGATGTATGAATGGGTTCTCATGGTTATAAATTATCCTTCAAAATCGGAGCAACAAATAAGTAATCGGTGTTATTCTGAACAAATTTTGTTCTCAGAGGATTTTATTAAAGCAAGTATTTTATAAATCTATCATGAATAATATTTTGAAGTCAAGTGGAATTGGTGCATACTGGGTATACCTATCCTGCTAAACGACCTAATGAATGATGTACCGAAAAAAAAAGTCTGTATAAGCACATGAGCGCCACTGGTGTATAGGCTCCCCAAGGAGCTGGACCTACTGAGGACATAGGCTGTAGCATCAATGTGACAATGATACTGATGACCACATTCAAGTTATTAAAGACATAGTAACACCCTTTGAAAAAATGTATTGTCCGTGTACCGAACAGGGGCGGACTGACCATTTGGAAACTCAGGCACTGCCCGAGGGCCCGGGGTCAGTAGGGGGCCCCATAAGATGCCCTGGTACCTTTTTTTCATAGGCTTTTTTGAGTTTGGGCAAGGACACGGGCCCCATGAGCCCCTATTGCCTGGGGGCCCCTTGAGTTGTCAGTCCGCCCCTGGTACCAACATTAAAAAGGAATTACTCTCCTTAGATTAGCATTATGCCCATGAAAACACAGGATTGGATGCTATCACTGGTCTGTACACTAGCACTGTATGCATTTAGAGACACATGCCCAAAACTCAAGTATTCTGCTCTCCTGACTTAGGGCCTGTAATGCCTATGAAATGTGTTGGCCTTGGACCCTTTGTTTCTTGGGAAATTTTTACAATAAAGCATTATTGCCCTAATGCCAGGGGCATGAGAGGTGACTGAAGTATCATTTCTCTAGGTCAAAGGAAAGTCACAAGATATTCTGCTGAGAGCAAGAGAAAAACTTGTTTATGGAATGAAACGTGTTTATGACCTCTAGTAATGCAGGCCATAGATGGGTCGAAAATCGGCCGATTTTTGCACCGTTAATGGGTTAATTGGTCGGTCATCTTTCAGGGTTTTGGCACATTTTTTTTTTTTTATCAGTGAAGTTGGAAAAAAATCAGCCAATTTTCCCGGCAATGATGGGCAAATCAGCCGATCTTTTTACCGATAAAAAATCTGCGCATGAGCCGTGACCTGCAAGAAAAAGAATAAGAATTCCAGTCCGCTATTATATTTGACATTAAAAAGTATTGCAGTTGCAACAATATCTATTTGTATCAGAATAAAAACCTCTGTATCCGAAATGGATACAAATGGATACATTGTTGCAACCGCAATACTTTTTCATGTCAAATATAATAGTGGAGCTCTCTGCAGGGACAGAAGTAATTAAATGCCGTCCGAAAATCGGGCGATGTTTGTGTTTTTTTTTTTTTTTTTAATGTTTACCGTTGGTGGTAACGTCGGCCTGTTGAACGACTGATTTTAAAAAAAAAAAACACACGGGTTTTCGACCCGTCTATGGCCTGCATAACCTCACCTTAGGAGATAAAAACCTGTTTCACCCCTTCACGCCTAAGGGTAAAACAAATCTAAATGCCTAAGCACAATTCTGCAACGTTGACATGTGTTAGTAAGACCGTACATATCATCACAACTACTTTGTACATCCAGGTGGATTATACCTTGATTTTTTTAGGACAAATTGGGCTTTCATTTGGTGGTAAATAGTAATGGATAGCTCCTAATTTGTTTTTATTATCAAAGGAAAACTGGCCTAAAATAGTAAAAAAAAAAAATTGTTTTTTTTTTATTTAGCTGTTTCTTGTTACGACCATAACCTACCGCTAAAGAACAACCCAAAATAAATTCTCCAGCTCTTGACGATCGCAGCGATACCATATATGTGTATGTTATTTCTTGTTTGTAACCGTAGTACAGCCCAGAAACAATAGTGTGCATTTTGTTTTTGTCTTTTTTTTTTTTTTTACCTAAAACACACTGACACTGACATTAATACTAACTGACACCAATTTTTTTTTTTTTTTTTGACCCTGACCTTAACCCAAACACTAACCCCGGCACTGAACTAGATCAAACCTTGTTCTAGGTATTTTTCTTTATTTTTTAATATTTTATTTACCTTTTTTTTTTTTTTTTTTTTTTTTTCAACAAACTTGTTTTTTTCTCTCTATGCCAGGGGTTAGAGAGATACACTGTATCTCTCTTCTCCATTCATAGAGAGAAAAAACAAGGGGGCTGGACTGCACAGTGACTGATCACTGCAATAGCCAATCAGAGGCTATCACAGTGATCACGTGACCTGGAATTGGGAGTCCCAGGTCCCGATCGTTAGAACGGGACCCGGGGCTTTCAGTGACACCGCAGTCTCAGTGCTGGGAGTGCGCTGAGCGGCGTGCTCCCAGCACAAAGACAGGTACGCAAATATGCGGCCCCATGGAAAAAAGCCCAGTTCCGTGAGGCCGCATATTTGTGTGCCGTCGGCGTCAAGGGGTTAAGGACATCTAAGTTACAAATCCTTACGTCTGGGGGAGATGAGAAAGGTTTTGTGGTAGATAAAAAGCAAAAGTGTGACTTTTCAGATAACAAATATGGTGGTTGAATGTGACTCTGTTATCCTTGCGGAACCCTTCGAATAGCTCCTCCTGTGGTGGTTGTGGCACCGCCCACTATTAGACAGCTTCAAGAAAATGGGTTTATAAGGCAGAGGTCTGGGCAAGACCAGTAGAAGCCCCCCCCCCCTCCCTTAGTGGCCAGAGGACACTCTGATGCTGGGTTTTTGCCAAGACTGTATGGGCTCATCGACTGGTCATGCCTATGGCTTCTCCCTGACCCCCGGGGGCAGTTTGGTTCCGATGGGATTTGTTCCTTCTCGCTTCCACAGCTTTGGCAATGTATTCTATGCTGTGACGCTGTCAAATGATGTGTCTATTTCATGCTGTAATGCTCACTCTTACTGGTGTGTGTTATTATGCAGATTGTGATGACTATAAGATATATCCTCCTGTGTGTCATGTGATAATAAAAGTGGAGGTTTTGACAG